AAGCATGAGTTTGAATACACAGTTACATGTTACACTTTATTCAGTGCAGGGTCTCTGGGCTTTGCTGATAAGGCTGGTAGCAGATGGGAAGAAACTTCTTGTGGTGTGAGGTTTTGGTCCTAATGGACTGCAGCCTCCTGCCAGAGGGAAGTATCTGAAATAGTTTGTGGCCGGGATGTGGGATGTGTCCTGAAGATTGCAGCCAATCACCTTCTCTGTAGACTGGATGACACGCTGCAGTCTGCCCTTGTTGGTGACACCAGCGTACCAGATGGTGATGGAGGAGGTGAGGATGGACTCAATGATGGAGGAGTAGAAGTGCACCATCATTGTCCTTGGCAGGTTCAATTTTTCCAGCTGCTGCAAGTACATCCTCTGCTGAGCTTTCTTGGTGAGGGAATCGATGAGCTCTTCCTTATATACTACAATTGCTGGGTATAGAATGCAGCTGTGCAGTTCATCATTGCTGTTGGGCAGAACACTTAGATTTATAGAATTCAAATAAACTTTTTATGAATTAATATCCTGGTGAAGATCCTCAGTCATCCAGGTCATAGACATTCCAAAACAAAGTTTAAAACCAATACACTTTGTTTCCAAGTTTGAAGAAGTTTTTCTTCCCATCCAGGAAGCTTTCTCAATTCAAAATGTCAGAATTAGCGTTGAGTTTGAGGTTTTATAGAGTGGAACAGCATCGGGTATTGCAGGCTAACAAAAAACCCAAGCGACCCCCATTCCAAAGGGGCTGAGCCATTCGGTTGGTTCAATTTTCATGTTTTCTACGCAATAACAAGGCTTTGTTTTTGGTCCACTCTATAAAAGTAATGGGAATCCATACCTAAATTTAATGAATATGCTAACCAAAATGTTGGAATATTTAAAGTAAACATGGGAACGCTCCCAGTTTTTATGCACAAACTGAATATTGAGTGCGATCCAAATTCCTGCCAATCCCATGGTGATATTGATCAATATTTGGCTATGATGAAGCAAAACCAGTATATATTGTAACAGAGAGCAGTAAAAACACCTGTGACCTCCCCACACTATCAAACACTGCCCATACCTTCACACATTTATATTACCCCTACAGTGGTAGAACAAAATACAGGAGTCACATAATAACCAACTATCACCACCAAACCAAATCGATTTATTGAAACCAAATAAGATTGACCCCAACTATGGTCAAAAACAGATTTGATTTTGGTTATAGCAAGACACTGTCTGGATGGAGTAATAAGCGGGTAACAGTAGAAAAGCTGCAGAGAGGTGTGTTAAACCACGACTCTGCTGTCATGATTCTTGGGGACTAATAAAGTTTGCCAGATTCCAAGAAAGAAGAGCTGCAGCATCTAAAGGAGGATGGTTGCCATCTCTCCGAATCAGACCAACTTTCCTTTACCAAAAAGGAAAGCTTTAAGTCTATTTTTAAAAGTAGAGAGGGTGTCTGCCTCACTTGGAAGCACAAATAAAACCTACAGTTTCAAAGCAAAGGGCTCTCTAGCAAAAAAAGTTACAGTCAGAGATCTGTTTTATTGAGCTTGATCGTTAAGGACTTAACATGTGAGGAAGAGAGTTAAGTCTGGTTTAAAGCTGGTCATTAGGAAAACTTTAAACCCGGCTCCATTTTAAACAACATGGAGCATGTAAGTTTTCTTACGATTGTAAGAAAACTTACAGTACAATCTACATCCCGCTGACTCCATGTAGTAAGACAGAGCTAGCAGTATCATAGCCTCGTGAGACCATCCTGATCTCGCAAGCTTTCAAGGTTTCACTCGCAGATCAGTCTGGAGACTCTCCGTTAAAGAAAATTTGGAGCCGTTCACCAAACGAACGTCTAATCAGCGTTGGCTTTGAGGCGGGTTGAGGTGTGACGCAATGAGAAGCACGAGAGTTCAGTCTAAAGAACATGGCGGCTTCAGCCGATGAAACTAGCGTTAGCGTGGCTATCGAGCAAGTTTTATCGGAATTACAGAGTATTTCTTCACTGAAAGAAGAGCAAAACACTGCTCTGGAGGCTTTTCTCAGAGGAAAATATGTTTTTGCTCTTCTCCCGACTGGTTTCGGCAAGAGTAGCCTGGCTTGTGGTTGGGTTTTCGTTGTCGCTCTGTTAGTACGTCATATGCTTCGTTGATCTGATTTATCTGGTTTATTTGGCCCGTCTATCACCAACATAGGCCAATCAGCTAACCAGTATTTTCGCCCCTTTCCAAAATTACTTCAACGGAAGGTTTCCAGATGGATATGCGGAGCAAATCCATCTGCAGTATCATGCTTTGGGAATAATTTGTAATATTCACCAGGAACAGGGAAACTGATCAGAAAAGTGAGGAAGACCAAGTGAAAAATAGGCCAATCCCAGAGGAAATGTAGTCGGAAGCTACAGAAGGTGAATGGGGACCTATAACCTTCAGCAGGAAAACACACGTAGGAATAACATGCATACATATGAATATACTACAAATCTATATACATATTTCTCTCTTGAGCTACATATATACTCATTTGAAATACTGCACTAGATTTAACATTCAGAATTGCCTCAGCCATTTGCTCCATTAAGAACCACGGGTCACGCAGCTGGTTTCTGATGTAGCTGGAAAACCAGTTCAAACACCTCATGAAGTCACTCTATCAGTATCATTTAAACAGCCTGTTTCCACTCTATAATCAGCATGAAGCTTGGCCTCATTCCCCAATTCAAGCCAATAGAAATAATCAGTTAAATTAGGGGATGTCATAGCCAAAAGAGATAATTAATGCCTCATAAACATTTGCAAGCCTAATTCAACAGGCCCATTTATCCACGTGGGGAAGGCCAAAGCGTTTAGACACAAACCAAAAGCACAGCTCAGCAGACCAAAACTCAGACAGTACTTTCTTAAGAAGGGTGAAACGAGGGCAGCAGAGAGCTCTGCCTCTCGTCTCAGACTGGGTATTATAGCAGCAGTTAAAGAGAGGTGGACTATTGATCTGCAGATAGATGCTGCCCACCAGAGGGAGGGGGTCGGGTGACATACAGGCTGTAGATGCTCAGATAAACAGAGATCAGCTAACAAAGGCTGAATACATTCCCTTAAGCCTTGGAAACCACCGATTGACAGGGAAAAAACAAGAATATGAAAGAACAGGGACTTCTGATGTGCTGTACGCAATATTTTTTGACAATTACCATTCAAAAATTAGAACAAAGGAAAGTATATCCAGCTCTTTATATATTATTAATATTTTGTCTTTTTATTTCTGGAATATATATTTAATTAGAGGCAAACATCCAAAACTTGTATTTTACATGAGAGGAAATATCAAAAATGTTTCTCAAAGACATGGAAGGAGTACAGAGAGTGTACCCCTCATGGATGGTGCGTTTTTGTTTGGCTGAGAGAAGATCCTCGTAGCCACCTCCCTTCCTCTGATATGATGCTGAGGCGGGATTGTCTCACTCCTTACCTTCAGACAGTGGAGGGTTGAGGAGTTTCCTGGATACAGCATGAAACAAGCTTTCAGCCCCTGATAGTTTCACTGGTTGATTTTGGGTGAATTGTGCTTAGCTGGTCAGGTCTGGTTCCAAAAAGGCATCACAAAACCATGACACTTCCATCTACATACCTTAAAGTTTGCTAAGAGGTTCCTTTGATTGTAGTGCTGCATGTGAGAGTCCGGTGGTTCTTATTCAGGGTTTATATAGGGATTAATAACTCAAATTTAATGCTTTTTAATGTTCTTAGAAATAATTTTAATGCCACCAACAGGTACCAATCTACAGGCTGCAGCCATGTCCCGAATTCCTCGTTTTCCGACCACTTTTGTTGAAATTTGCTTTTTCTCCCCATTCCCTAGCTTTATCTCCGACTCAAGCTTCTTTTCTAAACATGCAGCTCTGCGATCAACCGGTAGCAGTTCCACGCAAATATATCGTGATATAATATGTCTGACGAAATTGTTTAAAAAAATTTTTTTTTTAAATAAATCATTTTAAATGCCACAATAAACATTTAATGAATTTTAATGCCAATTAAGGCCTTAATTAAAAAAATAATAATTTAATGACTTTTAATGACAGGCGGAAACCCTGTTATTGCGAGTATTTCCAGGACATCCACCCAGAGGAACAGACCTTTATCTATAATAATGTTCGGTGAGAGAGACTGGGTTTGTTTCCGCCTTCAGATTTGCAATATGCAGATAAGCCCATCTTTGTATTGAAGCTAGAGAAACATGCTAACTTTAGTCTGGATATTTACCAAAATATCCTGAATGAAAACAGTTACAGCTGATGGTAGAAAATGTAACAGAAGTGAACTGCAGATCAGGGATTACAGCCCAAAAATAAAGTACTTGCTGCTGAAACCCAGTTCTCTAAAGTCCCATTTTCTTAATCTACTTTTATTCTCTTTTGTGAAATATTTATGAACTAAATGACTTTTTTCCAGCACAGCCTTTCACTTCCCTCTGGGATCAATGACGGATTTATGAAGTGAATTTAATTCTCCCATTTTGTGTGATTCTTCTGTTCAACCGAACCGAAGCCTTGAGCAGAAGAGCAGCCAGCAGTCACATGAAGCCACCATTTCCAGAACATGTATATGCATTCATTGTTTCTGATTACTTTCGCTTTTGGACCTCAATAAAAACCGTATGAACTCAAAATATAAGAAGAATATGCATAAAATAAATAATAACCATTAAAGCGCCCAGTCATCCAGACAATTGGTCAATATTCATTGCTGAGGATATCCGGACTAAAACTCAGATTATAAGAGCTGCTTTTGAACACAGCTTTATTTCCTGCTGTTCTGAAGTTTGAGTTTTAACCTAAATGGAGACATTTTAATGAGCAGCTTTAAGATGGGAGCAGACTGTCTGCTGTTCATCTGTTGCACCTGAAGCAGAGTTCAGACCTACCTGCCAAACGTCTGACGGTAATGAGCAACAGTTATAACCACATGGTTGAGTCCAAAGAGGAAGAAAAAGATCAAAATGAGACAAAACAATCACTTAGTTGGCCTAAAAGGGCCATAAATAAAATTTTATTCTCTCAAATTATTAACAAGCCACAGGAAACCTGCGGCCGTCTACCACAGCACTTAAAACATCTCATTCTGGCACAGTTCAGAAAGACATGAGACCATCTGAGATCCTCTGAGCCGCCCAAACTTCTGAAGGCTCTCTTCCTTACTTTCTTAGAAAAATAAAACATGGTAATACTGTACCAAACGAGTGGCAGAGAACCGGGGGTGGGGGGGTTATTAGTGTGGCAGGGGAAGCTGGAACCAAACAGCAACAACAATATTAACTATGAAAAACCTTGAAGCTTTTTTTGTTGCAAAGCTGAAGCGCGATGGGATTAATCTCACCGTTCCCCTCTCAGCAGTTTATCTCGTCCTCATCCTTCCTCTACTGTTCTGTTTAAACGAAATGTGAAATAAAATTTGTGATAAAACCTATAGCAGCAAAAGAGTAACAGAGGAATAAGAGCGTAAGCGAGTGACCCCTGGATTGATAAGGAAGGCATGGGTTCATAGAGGTCCATTGGTTTCTGGCCGGATGATGAAGGACAGTCTGAGCTCATCTTCCCTCGCTGGGCACCCTGCCAAGTGCGGCCATGATGCGGCCGAAGCGCTCACACAGCTCCAGCGTGGAGTAGCTGGGCAGCTTGGGAGGGTCGTGGAAGCTTTTGATCTCCGTTGAGCAGTCTAACAACTTGGGGAGGAAGTCTGTGAGCTTCTCCTGGAGGTTGGCTGGAAGCAGTGGGACAGAAACAGAGACGGTGAATAAACATCTGGGGCATCGCTGGAGGATTAGAATCCACTGAAATCACAAGGTAAATATTTACAAAGTCAGATCACATGAAGTTAGGAAGCATGTTCCACAGCCGAAGCCAAATGAGCTCAGTGGGACTGAACTGAGTCTGCTTTCCTGAACAAAGGCCTGATAACCCCACAGGCTGATAAACGCTTCAGGCCAAACTTTCCCAGCAACGACCAAGAATCACATCTGGATCTGACTCAAAACATTAAGGTTATTTTAATCAGATATCTGACTTATTCTGTATTAACCTTCAAAAGGAACACAAAGAATAACATGAGTCTCCTAAAGATCTGAACATCAACACCAAATTTCAAAGCATTTTATTTGGATTCCCTAAATCACTAAAAGGATTAGTAAAAAAAAACTTCCATTTCTCCGTCCTCTCTCTCTTCCTGTCTTTATCTCCTCTCTTTCCCTCTGTTATTGAAGGGTTTTTTCTGTCTCTCTCTCTTTTTTTTTTTTTTTTTGCTTTTTGCATTACTACTATTGTTGTACTGGTAAGAGTATATTTTTTCTTGAAACTTAATTTTTTAATATATATGTATGCTTTATACTCGGGTGTGTGATTTTTGTATGTTTCACTTTGAAAACTTAATAAACATATATTAAAAAAAAAAAAAAAAAAAAAAACTTCCAGCTGCTTTAGAAAAGGAATGTGAAATATGAAAGATTTACAGCTTCCTCTGGTTAAGAACAAAATAAACAAATGGCAAGTTTTTACGTCTTTTCAGAGATGAGGATAAACCAACAGATTGCTTTAATTACTCAGCTGTAATAAGGGGCTCCCTGTTCTGTGTTTGATTTTTCAATTCAGATCAAACTAAAGGTTCGCTGATAAAAGGTGAAATGTGTTTCACCTTCTGATTGAGTCGTCCTTCCATTGCGATTAAAGACGATCCAGAATTCCTCCCTAGGCTAAAGATGGCCCCGGGTTCCCCTTTGGACACTACAGTTTTGAAATTAAAGCAATGGCCTAGTCAAAGCATGACCCTGAATTCACTTTAGAGTAAGTTGCAGATAAAAATGTTAACTGATGTTCTCCATCTGATTCTACCAGATTTGAAGCTTTTCTATAGAGAAATGAAGAGAACATTTCTAGAAGTGCGTTTAGAGAAGAAAACAGTAATTTCTTTGCATTCCAGCTGATTTCATGGCGCTACAACCCGATCATTGATTCTGCAGAACGGTTAGCTGATGGAGAGCTGAAGACTAACTAGCATGTTTGTCTGAAACCAGTTTAAATGGAAGAACAGGACTAACGGCTCCAATGTTCATTGTCCTAATGAGGAAATTTAATCCAGTTTCATTTTCATATGAGACATTGATCAATCTACAGAGCCTGCAATGGGCCGAAGAAGCTCTGTGTTGGGAGCATTGGAAGGAGGCTTTTTATTGGAGGCCATTTTCAGCAGGCAGTGATTCTTGTTGCTGGTAAAACCTGAGTCCTGCTACAGCTGTGGGAGTTCCTTTTAAAATGAATCACTGTGGTTCATCCAGTAGACCAATGCTCTTTGATTTTAGTCCAGCTTCCTGAACATTTTAGATGTTTCTCTGCTGTTGGAGCAAAATGTTCAGGAAGCTGAACCACAACGACTAGAATGGAAGTAACTGGAAATACGAGGAGGTAATGGAAGTACAGGGGCACCTGGTAGAAGGCTGTTTCAGAAGGATCTGCTGCCACACTCACCACTAGTAAGGATTTTAGTTTAGAAATATCATTCCCATGGATGATAACCATGTAGAGCAGCTAAAAGGGATACTTGCTACTGATTGGATGGTTCTACTGCTCTGATTGGTGGTTTCAGATACATTTCTTACTGCATTTCCTGTTTCCTACTGCACTGAAAATCATCTCCATCATCCAGGAAAACTCAGACTTAGAGGCTGAACCAGAGTCCTGGTGGAGTGTCAGACCCATGAAGTCTACAAACTCATCCTGACGGACTCACCTTCCATCTCCTGGCCCAAGTAGGAGCACCAGCGGTTCCTCATGTCCTCCACAGCCAGCAGGTCCTTCTCCGTTTCCTGAGCTAGCAGTAGAGGAATACACGGCACCACCAGCTCGTTCATTATGCCCAGGCCTGTAGTCACCTCTGGCTCCTCTCCCGTCTCAAACATGGCAGCCGCTTGTTCATTTAATTTCTACACACACAAGAAGGAAACTGATGAGTTCAAGTTGAATAAGTTGGATACAAACTTCAACAGTCAGTTGGCTCCAGCTGTAGCTTCAGCCACTTTATGAACAGCTGAATAGTTCAATGCACCCTTCCTCTCTACAGCTCTTTATAAACAAAAACTGATGATGATGATGAGTGAGGGCTGCTGCTCTTCCAACGCGCAGATTTTGGATTTATTTGAAGAAGGTGGAAAGTTAAGAGGCTTTCTTTAGGCCAGCTGACCAGCAATGAGCAGCAATAAGTAGGGAAGGGGTAACGCAGCTTTACTGGTTTGAGCAACATAGCTGCATAAACTCTTGCTCTACCTCCTTACAGATGGTCACCCCCGCCCCCCTCTCTGCGCTGCAATGAGGGATTATTCTGAAAGGAAAATTTGCATCAAGATTTCTTTTTACTTTATTCTAGTCGGCTAAAATGAATTTATTATGTTAAACGATTTCAGTCCAATCTTTGGGCAAACCTGCGGTTTTCAGTACTGGTTGATGTTTTGTGGTTATAAAGTGTGACCATGTTGAGTGTTAATTTAAATAATGACTTTGAAAAAAAATCATGTGAAAAGGTGGATCAAACTAATCTGGATTATGAAGGAATCTGAGGTGTTTTCTCTCTGGCCTTCAGCCTGTCTGGATGGAGCGCTCCGATCCAGCGGTGCTGCTACGGACGGAACGCTGCGATCAAGCCGTGCTGCCACGGACGGAGCGCTGCGATCCAGCGGTGCTGCCACGGACGGAGCGCTGCGATCAAGCCGTGCTGCCACGGACGGAGCGCTGCGATCAAGCCGTGCTGCCACGGACGGAGCGCTGCGATCAAGCCGTGCTGCCACGGACGGAGCGCTGCGATCCAGCGGTGCTGCCACGGACGGAGCGCTGCGATCCAGCGGTGCTGCCACGGACGGAGCGCTGCGATCCAGCGGTGCTGCCACGGACGGAGCGCTGCGATCCAGCGGTGCTGCCACGGACGGAGCGCTGCGATCCAGCGGTGCTGCCACGGACGGAACACTGCGATCAAGCCGTGCTGCCAAGGACGGAGCGCTCCGATCAAGCCGTGCTGCCACGGACGGAACGCTGCGATCAAGCCGTGCTGCCAAGGACGGAGCGCTCCGATCAAGCCGTGCTGCCAAGGACGGAGCGCTCCGATCAAGCCGTGCTGCCACGGACGGAACGCTGCGATCAAGCCGTGCTGCCACGGACGGAGTGCTGCGATCAAGCCGTGCTGCCACGGACGGAGCGCTCCGATCAAGCCGTGCTGCCACGGACGGAACGCTGCGATCAAGCCGTGCTGCCAAGGACGGAGCGCTCCGATCAAGCCGTGCTGCCACGGACGGAACGCTGCGATCAAGCCGTGCTGCCACGGACGGAGTGCTGCGATCAAACCGTGCTGCCACGGACGGAGCGCTCCGATCAAGCCGTGCTGCCACGGACGGAGCGCTCCGATCAAGCCGTGCTGCCACGGACGGAGCGCTCCGATCAAGCCGTGCTGCCACGGACGGAGCGCTCCGATCAAGGCGCTCCGATCAAGCCGTGCTGCCACGGATGGAACACTGCGATCAAGCCGTGCTGCCACGGACGGAGCGCTCCGATCAAGCCGTGCTGCCACGGACGGAGCGCTCCGATCAAGCCGTGCTGCCACGGACGGAGCGCTCCAATCAAGCCGTGCTGCCACGGACGGAGCGCTCCGATCAAGCCGTGCTGCCACGGATGGAACACTGCGATCAAGCCGTGCTGCCACGGACGGAGCGCTCCGATCCAGCGGTGCTGCCACGGACGGAACGTTCCGATCAAGACGTGCTGCCACGGACGGAGCGCTCAGATCAAGCCGTGCTGCCACGGACGGAGCGCTCCGATCAAGCCGTGCTGCCACGGACGGAGCGCTCCGATCAAGCCGTGCTGCCACGGATGGAACACTGCGATCAAGCCGTGCTGCCACGGACGGAGCGCTCCGATCCAGCGGTGCTGCCACGGACGGAACGTTCCGATCAAGACGTGCTGCCACGGACGGAGCGCTCCGATCAAGCCGTGCTGCCACGGACGGAGCGCTCCGATCAAGCCGTGCTGCCACGGACGGAGCGCTCCATATCACACAGGTGGGATTTAGTCTTCTAGCAGACAACAGAGCTCAGGGATAACTTTTTAAATTAAAAGCAGGGTCATTTTTTATTCTACATGACTAGTGTTAATCTGTAGCTGTAACCCGACTCATTGAGTCCCATTTTAATCTGATAATCCAGTTGACAGAAAAGGTTTTAATGTGTAAACATAAAGAGAACGAGGAGAAGCTCCTGTAGCTCACATTAGCTGGATTTAAGGCTGAAACAATTCAAAATAATCCTGATTAATCGATTATTGAATTCATTGTTAACTAATTTAGTAATTGATTAATTATCAACTGTAGTATAGACTGTAACGCATGCTTTTAGCTGACAGAGCAGACATTAGACCGAAAATTATGTATAAATATTTAGCATGTCTGTCAATATTCTTTTTTTTCCTTTTCTCCTACAATGTCTACATTTGATCACTGCTGTGCCTTAAGAAATGAAAATGTCATGAGAGCTGTACTAAACGAAATTTTGTTTTGTATACACTGTGTATACAAAATGACAATAAAGTTTGTCTAAGTCTAAGTCATTCAGATTTCCACATGTAGAAAAACTAACAGATTAATTGATTAGCAAAGTAACTGTTAGTTGCAGCCCTCGCTGGATTGGTCTATAACTGATTACTGCTTTATCCACAGTAGAATCAGAAGATGAGAAAATTCAATCTGAATGTTGTTTATGACCTAAATGCTGGAAGAAATATTAGACTGATATACTTTGTCAGCGTTTGTTAGCATGTATTTATTTTGTCTGCTGCTAGAGATGTTTTTCATTTCCTTTATTAGATCTGGGACTAAAGCAGGTCTTGAAATTCTTGCCTGAATGCAGAAACAAGCTCCTCTCTGCGTTCTTGGCCTCTAAGCACGCCGCCGTCACACACAAACTCACTGACCTCCTCTCTGAGGAGAGACGGTTTGGAATCAGGAGCTGCGAGGCTGGATTTGTAAAATTTCCAACCCCATTAACTGTGTCAACGTTAGCTGTGTTTTCAATTAAAACAAGAGCCGAAGGTAAACAGCTGCCTGGACAGAGCCAGAGGTTCTGGCCCTGGATCTGAGCTGACCGCTCCTGGCTGAGGGTCTGAGGTTAGCTGAGGACACGCTTGTGACTCATGGTAATGTGTTTACACTTGCAGGGCCTCCTGCTTCCTATTCCCACTACAATGATTACATTATGAGCACAATGCTGGTGTAAGGTTACCGAGTGCAGTGGAGAGAGAGCCGAGGACAAAACGGATAAGACCGAAAAGCAGACTCCAACCAATAATGCAGGAGCACAGGCTGCTTTGTGGGAGGGAAATGAAAAGAGGCTCACATCGCAGCACTGAAAGGATTTTCACCAATTAGCATCAGATTTTAAAAAAAAAACTTCAGTGGAATCTTTTGTGGGCTTCAGGCAAGCCAAAGCAATATCTCAGTGAAAGCAATCTGATGATAGTAACCAAGCTCATTGCTGAGGGGGAAACATCCAGCTTTGTTAGTTTTGCTGAGTCACTTTAGCAAAGGCGGTCTGATGAAGAGGAAAGGGAGTAACAAAGAGGAGACGGGGATCAGAGGGAAGGACTGCTTAAAACAAAGATTTCTGTGTGCAGATAATGTCCTCGATTCAAGTCATACTCTAAACAGGATGAAACATGAAAACCTCCGGCTCACCAGCAAACACTCTCTGCGGTAATATCCCAGGAACTCCTCGTCATGTCCTCGGTACAGCCCTTTCACCAGAAGCTCCCTGTTGTACTGGTACGAGTAAATGAGATACATCAGGGCCTCCACGTAACTGCAGAAGAAGACACAAACAAATAACCCCGTCAGATAAAGCTGGACCAAAGAAACATCTGAGTAAAGAACTCAGTGACCCCACTGCACAACTGTTCATCTGGGAACCGCTCTCTGTGAAAGGGTGCCCCCTGCAGGAGAAGCTGAGGTGATGGAAATTTAGCTTTAATGTGTCTGACTGAGATGATTGAAAACATGTGAAACGCCTCCTGAAGATCAGGGATCTACCTCATCTGCCCTCATGCTTCAACACTAAACCTGACAGGATTCAGACATTCTCTGGATTGCAAACTTTCCCAGTCACAGACCCCAGAGCTCCCAGAATTTATAGTAAAAAACATTTCTACATATAAACAGTTACTTTAAATAATCAGGATTAACATTTGAAACCTGCAAAGATATGAAATGATACAAAAATGTTAACAACATCCACCTAATTCAGAGTAATCCTCGCCTTTTTGCAAATGGAAAAGCAAATGACTAAGGTCCCGTAAGCCCAGATTATGTTCGATACGTCATTTGAAAGGTAACATCTTCTAGTTTCTGAAAATGGTCTGACTAAAACAGCCTAAATTTCAGCAGTTAAAACATGACTGTTTGTTTTTTCTTTCTTGAAAATAATCAGTCTTTTTTGAATAGCAGTAAAAAAGACCTGCTTAAAATTTGATTAATTGTGAGATTAATTTAATACGATTTTTATTCTGCATCGTGTCAACCACACCTGCGAATAATTTCAGACTTCTAGGTATAACAGTTCTAGAGATATTGGAGATTTAATGTCTGGAGTCACCAGCGTCTCTCCAAATGTGCCTAATTATTCCAAATTGTGATTCTTGCTTTTACACAACAATTTTACCCCAAAAATCCCAGTGGAGTAATTTTATGGCCACAAATTATTTGAGGGCTGTGCCGGCATCAAATCTCAACAGAAATGAACTGGGACATTTTTGTTTGTAGGCTGGAAGGTGAGGAAAACAAACATAACAAAGATTGCAAATGTTTGTGGAAGCTAGGGTAGTTAGCAAGACAGTTAGCATTAGCTATAACCATCGAATTGTTCTGATTGTAAAAGCGGATTTTATGTGGCAATTTTCTCATTATGGGATGTTTTTATTACAAATATGCTGGATTACTTTTCATCTGTGGACTCTTAAGGACAAATGGAATATAAACAATCTAAGATTGGATTTATGATATGGCCTCAGGATCACTTCAAAGGTAGGATGTCTGAGCGTTATTCTAGAAATCTTTATCAACTGTGCTTTGCTGCTCATGGTTTCCATAAAATTAACTTTATGGTTGAATTGTGGAGAAATCTCATCTTCCTAAAGATGTATAGCATCTCTATATTGGTAAACTGTTTTAAAGTGTACTGCTGTGTTTAATGTAAACATAGACACCAGATTAAGATTTTAACTAAACCTGGGGAATAATCCTTTTTAGGCATTTCAGCAAGATAAGGTGGAAAGTTTCCTCTGTTTTAACTTTGAAAAATAATCACTTTTGAACTGGGATTTGGACATTAATATATTGCTGGTTGACAGTTTTGTGTTGTTTTTAATGAAAAAAGTCTTGACATTTTTCAGTGACTCAGAGTTTGATTTAAGAACAGTTAAAAATAAATCTCATTAATTGTTCTTAAGACTGTATCCCTTATGCTGTAATGGAACAGCGATCAAACAGCACTGTGTGTTATCAATCACTGCACAGAAATCTGATGTTTTATGAGATAACGTTGGCGTACTTTGTCTTTTGGAAGAGCTCCAACCCAGTCACCATCAGTACTGTTGTCTGACGGAAATTCCTGTAGTCTTGATGCCAAATCTGTCAAAGAAAACAAAGTTATTTAAAAAAAAAGGTTCTCAGTAAACATTAAAAATCATTAAGACACTAAAAGCTAACAACAGCCCACGGCATCATTGTCAAACGACAGTCATTTCTTTCCTGGAATTTTTTCACAATCTGTTGATGATGGTGCTAAAAAGAAGTTACAGGTCTGTGACAGCCAGAAATCTTGCTGGTTTCTGGGTGACCAAATACATATTTTCCATCATAATTTACAAATAAATTCTTTAAAAAAATCGTACAATGTGATTTCCTGGATTTTTTTTCCTCATTCTGTCTCATAGTTGAAGTGCACCCATGATGAAAATGCAGAACTTGCACAATTTGTGGCGGACTAAATACTTTTTGCCCCCCTTGTATTTTAGCAAATTAATCCTTGTTCTCAGAAATAGTTTGTGTTCTGTTTTATAGCAGACATTAGATCATCATTTTTAAATGCTTTTAGCGTGTAACGTCATCATACTGGCTGTCCATCCCTTCACTGAAAAAACATCGAACTGGGAAAAAATGAGCTTTTTCATCTTGTAGAAAACGAAATAAAAAAACTTCTCACCTCATATTCATCCATGTTGACCTCGTCAGGCTTAATCAGGTCTAGTTTAGCTCGTGCCACTTGCATAATGCTCTTACATCTGTAAGGGAGGCGAGACAGAAAGGAAGATGGATGAGTGCAAGCAAAGAGACGCTGAGTCATCGTGATGAAATGGTCCATGTTGCCCCAAGGCCCAAACACGGCCTAATGAATCACTCTTAAATGCCGAGAGGAGAAGTGAAACGCTCCTCCGGAGGCTCCTATTGAGGCCACATGCACGCATTCATCTAATTATCTTGCTCAAAATAGAGAAGAAGGGAGAAATCAATTTTGTTCTCATGAATATGGATTGAGGCCAACATGTAGAGTGGAAAAGTTTTAACAGACAGTGCAGCCTCTGTGTGACTTTTTAACCATGGAGGGGGAGAGTCCTCTGTTAAAACAAAGATAGTATAATGTATATTTGCAGAGTGGTCTAAATCAAACAGGAAGAGATGTTCGTGCAGAAGGATTTCAAGAGCAATTTAGTTGGATGTGTTGCTCTGCTGACCAGTCCAAACATGGCAATTTTCAGGACTCTGCTGCCCTCTGCAGGCCGTCATCAACAGCAAAGAATCTGTACCTGACCTACCGCCACAGGGCTGGATGCTTGGCTTTTTAACCCGGAGCACAAGTGCTCCCAAATGGAAAGAAATTACCAGCATAGAAAAAAATGAGGGGCAAGACTTTTCTTAAATAGCACCATCTTTGAAAGGAAAAAACAAACAATGAAATTAACCCTTGTAATATGGTCCTGGTCTGTTTTCCATTAACTATCACCAAACTTCCTGCCTGCTTCTGTCCTCAAACTCAAGCCAAGGGATCCAACCTGATTTAAACTTGTAAACCTTTTAGCAGTGATGCTAAAAATCATCAAAACATGAAATACTGAAGGCATGTCCTGTTTGTCAACATCTCCCATTAAAAATGAAGACAGACTGTTCAGTATGACCAGTCATAACAGTGATGTCATACACATTTGTGTTTTCCTAATTTAGACCTACATAGCAGAATAAATTATACTAAAAAGATAGAGTGCAGACTTCTTAGGTCTGCGTCTCATGTGGCCATGGTTGCTAATAGGATTCAACGACTTTGACAAAAATCTAAATTGTTATTATTTTCAACAAATATGAAGCTGAAGTGGTTTGTTGATGCCATTTTCCGCGCTAAGGTTTTGTTTTTTGAAAATAAAACTGTAGCCATGTAGCATCAGAATTTCTCTGATGTAATGTCACCTCATATGAAGCTACACATATTTCAATGTTTCCTCAGCATCACATTGCTCTCCCCAGTGGTCAACAGGTGAGTCATACCACAGACAGATGTCTTCATCTAACAAAGCGTGAGTAATTCACATAAATGTCTAAACATTTAAATACAGCTGAACCTGCCGTGTGTGACAGAGCAGGAGGGATGATTTCACTAAGCTGGTGACGATGGATCTGGTAGCGGTAGTAGGGAACATATTTTAAAGGATCATCAATGTTTCCTGACCCAGATAGATAACTTGATCAGACTATATGGTCAGTTCGATTCACAATCACCATTACAACATTACAGAAAACACGGTTTATAACATGACAATGGAAGTATTAATACTTTTAGCTGTTTTTAAGGTATTATGCAACAGTTTTCTCTTTGAATAGAAGTAAAAAGAAAGTGATTAATTTTATTAAAAACTCAGAAGAACTTCTAAACCAAAAACACAAATTTAAAAGCTTTAAAGAACAGAAAGGTATCTGGTAATCAGATTAATCTGCGTTGCGTTGTACTGTGGGAATGATTCACAGCAGGATTCAAAGAACTGCGACAATGTGTAATCAGATTACTTAATGTACCTCTCATCAAAGGCCAGGTTTCTGTCTGCAAACTGTGTGAGCAGAGTCCTCTCCAGGATCTTTTTGGGCGCCTCGTTCTGGATGAAATACACGATGACATGGTGTAGCCTGTAGTCCGTCTCAGGTGGCGAATCCTCCTGGGCAAACCTCAGCAGACGAGCGTATTCCAGCTTGATGGCCTGATCAGAGAGACGAGGCACAGGAACATCCATGATTCAAGTTGATCAACACGGTAAGGCGGAGATGCTTCTCTATTTATTCATATTAATAAATGACTACTTTAAAATAATAAAGATTTAAACTCAGCAACACATCTACATTTTTATAAATGTAAAGAAGAATCCTAAGAAATAAAACAAACTATCTGCGCTTTACTTTAATGTTTTTCACTCTGTTAAAAGGTTGTGATGTTTATGCTGTAATTTTAAAGATTTATTACAATATGTTAAAAAAGCATGAAGTTAATATTTTGGCAGTAATTATGTTCAAAAAAGTAAACCCATATAGATTTACTGCTTTTGTTTTGGCAAACCTGGTGGGTGTGACGTACAGCTAATGAAACCCCAAAATTCAAGTTCTTAAAAGAAAAAAAGGACTTTCCTGGAATTTGTGTCAAACAAAAAAAAAGATTTTTCTTTCTCTTTTTAACAGATATGAACTAATTAAGTCATGGTGAAGTCAATACTTTGACAGCTCTTCAGTATCCAGCTCTTTGATCCATCATTGTTGAAAAGAAACGTTTTGTAAATGAAAATAGAAGAAAATGCAATCTAGAAATTAAAACCTTTTTTTTTTTTTCAACTTTTTTTTTTTTCCAAACTTTTTTTAAACAGATTGCATATTTTATGTTAATTGTTTTATTTGTTTTTTTCCTAACTCCATGTTATGAATTGCCTTCTTTTTAACTGCGTTTCACCGTAACTTCACTCCATTAAAGCCCTCCCTCTTTATCAATAAACAAGTTGTTGCTAACGGCTAGCAAACCAATAGATATGTGTTTTCTACAATCACTTCAGGGGAAGCCCCCCACCCCCCGAAAGTGAAAAGACTGATCTGTAAAGCACAATAATTGGAGGGAAACAGCAAAGTTACTCTCATAACTTTTGTTTTGATTAAGAAAATTTTAAGAGTTTTATCTGTGGATTGCAGTTTTTCCATTCACAAAACATGTTCTTTGTTTATAACAATAATGGAAGTAAATGTGTTGCGTACTCCAGCAAACAGTCCCTTAACACATGTGAAACCATAAAAGGCCCTTGGTAAAGTAACAGGCTGTTCAGAAAGTACTGTATTCAAGCCAGTTATAGGAGTGGAAGGAAAAGGCGTGCTGAACAGCTTTCAGATTAGAGTAAATGTTGCACAATTTAGAAATCAACCAGCTCCATGATGCTTTATGGAGCTTAACAGTGTGCTGGTGTTGGCCTACTATGTTCTATCAACTCTATAGATCAGCAACCTACCAGGAAATGTTGCTGACAAGCTTTATGCAGATATTGATTTTCTTTTCCCCTCAGCAGGACTTCCATCACTTAATGACCACTGACTGATTGAGCAGCAACACTTCCTGATCTAAACCTTGAAGATGTTTCTGTACTACTGAAAAGAGACTGAAACAAGCTGAGGGAAGACTTTCAGAAGACAGAGTTTTCTCTATTCCCATTTTTAAATCGGTAATATTCACATATAAGAAGATGAATTTGGGGTTTTCATCACTTTGTGTGGAATGGATCATTATATCGGATTCACCTTTAAAAACTAAACTACTGCAAATATCCACCAGGATGTAGAAATGAGGACATAACAAAGGAAGTGAGAGAGAGTGGGATGATGAGAGGTAAAAGGAGAGAGGTGGTACCTTAAAAAAGGCTGCCTCAGGCCCGTTCTTTTCATATATGCTGCTGGATTTGCCAATGGCCATAATTATACCCTGCATGTTGGGGGTCATCATTATCTACCCAGAAAGCAGGAACCAAGTTATAGAAAATATCAACCAAGTAAAACATGAAATATACACGTTCATGGCTCTCGGGTTGTGCTGTGCAGGGGTTAGGGCATGCCAGCAGTCCATGCACTATTAGTTGCACAAACAAGGAGAAAAATGTGCATCACTCAGAAAAGATGTGTAAAAACCAGGCAGCGGACATGACCTACAGCCAGTTTCAAAGTTATTTGCAGATTCTAAAACAAACTGAAGCCAAATCATTTGGAATCTATTGTCAGAACTTATCCATATGACAAATCTCACATTTTATCTTTACAGCTGTTCCACTGCAGGATACAGATTTACCTGAGAACACTACACTGCATTAAACTTATGTTGTTGGTGTCATTTCCTGTTTTATCTGGTTTCAGTTCACAAACCAACATATTCCTAAATCTTCATGCAGTGGCAGACTTGACCAACATAATGAACTGATGGGTGTCTAAACTCAGCAGACATGGAGAGTACATTCAGAATACAAAAATTCACCAATTACAGCCACCAGAGAAAACACAAAAAATGTTCTGAGGTTCCTTCCCTATGAGGCAGATGAACAGGAAACACAAAGACGAATAAGGAGGCTGCATTCCAGATGCACTGATACTATGAAGTCACACAACAGGATGTGCTGAGAAGTCTAAAGAACAGTTATATTATAGATATTGACTAACGAACAAGGGCAGCCCAGGTGTGCCTCCTGTCTGTAAATGTTTGACCCACCCCACACTCCGTCCTAATTCGTCTCAGACTACAATGATTTATTAACATAATCGATTACATCAATTATGAAACTTTCCTAATTTTGGTACGTAATTAAAATGACATGCAGGTCAGGGCAGTAAATTGTTAATTAAATTCGATTCAGTTTATTTACCGTATTTTCACGACCATAAGGCGCACCGGACTAAAAGGCGCACTCTCAGTTATGTGTCCCATTTCTGTATTTAACACACACATAAGGCGCACCGGACTATAGGGCGCGTTTTTTATATACCGGTACATGTCCTCTACTACCTTTAAATACCTCTACTGCGTATTTAAAAATACAGCGGGGGCAAAACTGAGTATGACTGTGCTTCATTCATGTATTTATTACAAAGTATTAATCAAACCTGGCAGCTGGCCGTGAGACAGACACATCGCAGATGACACAGCGCTGTGATCACTCCTAAATTAACTTAAAATCCTGAAACCTGCCGACGGAATATGTTCGCTTTTATTACCAGTATCCTGGTGCCTGCAGCTAAAATTATTTAGATGAAAAACACCTGCCAGCAGCCGCGGTGAACGAAAGGATTTCTACTGTCGGTGCACCGCTGGTATGTGGGGGTCTGAGCGCCTCCGACAGAAATAGATAATCTGGATGAACTGACTGCAATTATTAAGTTTTCAGGTGGCCTTTCTCACTTAAAAACATATTAAAACTACTTTATTCCAACTGATCACAGCAAATATAGCTGCAAGATTTAGATTTAGATGAAAAAACACCTGCCAGCCACCGCGCTGAAGAGGAGGAGACGCGCTCAGAGGCTGCTGTTGAATTAAGTTTTCAGGTAGAAAAATAGAGCGGGAGCAAACCTGAGTATGATTGTGCTTTATTCATGTATTTATTACAAAGTATTAATCAAACCCATCAAAGTCATCATCCTCTGTTATCCTCAGCATTCCTCTGAATAAAACAGCTGCGCTAAATCAGACATGCCAGTTTCCCCTTTTTCTGCGCTGTCAGTCACTTTCCGTGCAGCGCAGCTCCTCAAAAATAATGCCGGCTTTTGCAAAAGCTTGAACAACAGAGCCAGCAGACACAGTCCATCTACAATCCATCCGCAAACGGTGGCGTAACTTGCACGGCGCTGCCTTCCATTTATCATGAAACTGTGGTCTCAGTCTGTCATCCATCGCTCCCACGCCGCTCGCAGCCTTACTGTGAACGGCCGCTCCACACCGATGTCAAGCGGTTGAAGTTCCTTTGTCAGACCCCCGAGATAACGGCGAGCACAGCGTTCATTTGATTCATCTTTTTTTCACATCGGCTGTGAGATGGGCACGCAGCGATGGTGATGCGTGGAAAAAACCACCTGGTCTCCTCACATACACCTGCCTTTCATCATCTCCTCATTCATCCAGCCTTTTTCATTTGCGTTAATATCATGTCATCAGAGCGCTGTGTCTGTCTCCCAGCCAGCTCCTAGATCAGCTTCTCTGATTGGTTGATGCGGCGCGTCCAGCAGCAAAACTTCAATTTTTCCATCTGAGCAGCAGCAGCGCGTTGGCGGTGCGTCAGATGCTTAAACGCTCCCGACGTGCTGCACCAAAACGCGCTGCAGGACCTTTTGCTGCACCTATACGCGCGTCAACCATTGACTTTGCATGTAAACTCGCTGCTTCTGCTGCACCTGCTGGGTCCGGTTCACACCGATGTCGAGCGGTTGAACAGCGAGCACAGGGTTAATTTGTTTCCCCATGTTTTTCACATCAGCTGTGAGATGGGCACGCATGGAGTTACATATTAACAGCGATGGTGAGGGGTGGAAAAAAAACACCTGGTCTCCTTACATTCAGCCACTCTTTCATCATCTCCTCAATGAGGTGGTCTCAAAAGTCGCAGTTACAACACACATAAGGCGCACCGCACCATAGGGCGCACCGCACATTTTGAGGGAAAAAAAAAGACGTTTAAGTGCGCCTTATAGTCGTGAAAATACGGTATATAGCGCCAATTTACAACACGTCTAACTTCTACAAAAGTGTATTAAACTGTAATAAACAGTAATACTTTTGACATGTCTGATCTTCCATTACTCCTCTGGTTAGTTGTAAAGGGATTAACATGGCCACTAAATACACAAGACTGAAGCTAAACAGAAGCCTGAAGCAGCCTGCCCTGCTCTTGTAGCTGATACTACAATGCTTTAATCTGCATTAACAGAACTGTTAACGTTAGTTAACAGAATTGTTTTTTCTGCATTGGAGGTCTGCTCACTGACTTCCTGTTAAACATAAGTATAGTCGAGTTCACGTATCAGTTTATTTGAGATAAAAAATTATGGATAAAAGACTTGGTATCACCAAAATAAAATAATCTGTAGCCTAACCCCTTAAACCAGGCCATCCAGGTACAGACCAAAATTTCTAAAACATGTTTTAAAATGCTTTTTTTTCGACAAGTACTTTTTTTTTTTTTAAAGGAGATTTAAAATTCCACCGGACATGTGTGACTCTGCAGGAGTAATGCAACAGCAGATATTAATTTTTAGCCCCACCCCCTAATGGCTGGCATAATTGAAAACTAGAGGCTCAGTTCTTTCCAGGGAGGGGTCGGATCTAATAGTGCGACCATTTCAGGCGATGTAACTGGAATGTGTTACATAAACTTACTCTGTTATTCTTATTTTCTACTCAGTTTGGTGATATTATTGGTAAATTCCAATGAAACTATGGCTAAATCATAGTAGCAAAGGCTTTGTCTTATGCAGAACGTCTCCAATAATGTAAATCAGCATATTTGTCTGGCTAGATTCCCTTTTATGAGTGGAAAAATGCATTTTTGAACTTTTGAAATTGTGCCAACTAAAACCTTTGAGGAACAAACATGCTTCTACCTATTCAGTCCAAATTTGCTTGACTTATAGTTGAAATGTGGATTTATAAAGTCTGAGGGTTCATTCAAAGTTTCAAATGGGTTTTCATGGTGTTTTGCAGTGTTTGTGTAAAAAAAAAATGGCGAGGCTAAAAAAAGTTTGAATTTTTTCTTTCCTTGATCACATATAATATTGAAAATATTATTAAATAATAATATAAAAAAAATGTTTAAATAGTAGTTCCACCTGAAAAATATTCCTCCACGCCATGCTGTCATACAAATACAAACAATTGTAATTCCAATGTATAGTTTGGGAGTTGAACTTTCTTTAATTCACATATGTAATTTCAGGTGGAATTTGCTGTTAAATTTTGCTGTTAAATAGATCATCAGAGCTCATGTTAAAACTAAAAGATACGTGAACTACTTCGCCAGGTCATCAGGGGTTTCGCTGCTTAGTTCCAGCCGTTGACCACTCTGTGGTTGTTGTCAGTTCTTTGAGGAACAAAATAATTCTGTGAATTTATTCATGATTCTGAGATATTATACATAATTCACATTATAACCATTTTGTAATGGTCACACGTGTCCTGAAGCCTGTGTAGAGATTAACCAAAGGAAAACAACACCTTTCCCCTCTTAGCTAATGTGCCCAGAATGCTCCATTTGAAAATCCTTCCCCTTTTGATGTCATAAGGAGAAATAAGAAGCCCAACGGTCAAGGTCCGGCCTTCTTTTTATGTATCATTCTGTGCTCCCAGACAATCTCTACAAACTGACTGGTCGTCATGGTTGTGGCTTGGCTTTATTGGCTGCAATTGCCATCAGTAACCATGAAATAACATTGATCAGCTGACTAATTTACATACACAATATTGATGTGCTTTGCATGGACCATTTTTTGTCAAATGTTAGAGCTAAATGGGCAGAGCATGAGATGAAGCCTTAGATTCGAACTTTGAGGTACAGCTGCTGTTTTATACAGCAAATGTTTTTTTTTTTTAGGTGCTTCTGAGCTATCCGCCGATTCCTATCCACACTGTTAAAAATGTTTAGCATAAATGCTTCATGTTGGCTGAGAAACAATATTTAATCTGGTGTAGATTATCTTTTATGTGTCCCTTAGCAACATTTAATTAGGTAATCAAATTTAAAGGAATACACACTAAAGAAAAAATAATTACTGACAATGTCTACCATTTTTCCACAATAAAAATAGACTCTTTAATTGATCAGTAATGTTATGATTTATATGTTCCTTCGATGTTGAAGATGGCGTTGTAGTTGTTTTGACACTTATAATTTAAGCCCAACATCTTTTCTGTCAGTAGCTATAGGAGGAATGAAAAAAGGAAGCGCACAAAAAACAGCGCAGATAAGAATAAGGGTTTGTGATAAAAAGTCCACGAGATAAAAGGTCCTAGAAGCATCATGAAAACCCGTCCCTACAAACGCAGCTGCTTTTTGCCAGAGCCAAACGTTGATTGGCTGAAGTAGAAATGATTCTTAAGGCTTCTGCACAAACAGGTTAGTCTGAGTGCACATTTCCAGCCTGATGCCAAGTCCAGACTCAGCCAGCAGAACAAGTATAGAATCATGTGTAGAGCCATGTGTTATATGGACAGCCATAAAATTCTGTGCAAAAAGAGACAGAAGAAAAGCTCAGATAGAACTGGAGCTACCTCGTCATCATAACCACCCTCCTCTGACTGAATCACAAAGGTGCCCACATGAGGAATGGCCACTTCTACGGTGCGCTGGCAAGGGGACTCATCCTCTGTGACCAGGTCAGAGGGTGTAGCACAAGCAGCATTCATCTGGGCCTCAGGCTGAAGGGTGGAGGGGGAGGGGGGGTGACTGGAAAGGAAGTGTAACAAGTGAACAGGGAGGACAGGTGAAAGGTCAAGACATGTTAAAGGAGGAGGAATAAAACTAGGAGAAATGTAAGGATGCAGCTAAAAGGTCCGACTGCCCTACTCTTAACATTTAAATGCTTAACTACATTTTAGACTGGAAGCCTCAGATCTTGCCATCAGTAGCTCTGGCCCTCTTTTTGTACTTTAATCTAAAATTTTCTTTGATTCAACTCAAATACACTAAGAATATCCCAAAATGTTAAATGGGAAACCTGAAGATGAACAAAAAGACGTGAATTGAGTTTCCAACATGGCTGCAATGGGAATAGTATGGAGATTATTAGACCAATAGCACACATTGTTCTGTTAAATACCTTATTATTAGAAAATTTGAATTCTTAGATAAACTGGAAGAAAACATGTTTTTAGCATGCAGTACAAACATTTGTGGAATCACAAACAAAGAATTGTTTTAACTTGCAGCTAGAAACCTAATGCTGTGTTCATACTGAACGCGTTTTGGGCGTCAAAGCACCTGATTTACATACTAAGTCTAAGATGCACTGCCGGACATCTTGACGCTGTTCCTCAGAGCATTTTTGGATCTGGGCATTGGAATGTCGACACTGGAGTTCAGAAAATGTATCTTTGCCGCTCCTGGAGCGTCAGCCAATCAGAAAAGCTGATCCAGGAGTTTTCTGGGTGAGACAGACACTACCTGCGTCTGTCATTGTTTCTGCTGGCATTCTGCATATGAAAAATAAATGAATACCAGGGAGTTAAACTCTAAAGGTTAAAAAAAGCTTGAAGAATGGATTGTTATGTAGAAGGAACAGAGAGTGAGCTCTGATCATTATTGCTGCACTAAAATGTTTTTATGAACTATGGAGAAACAGTTTATAAATACCCAAATGAACTAGAAATGTTAAAAATATAGATGAAAAATGTTGGATTGTATATTCTGGTGGTTCCTTTTTTTTAACTATAAACTCTTTCTATTCCCTTCCAGCTACTACGAACGGCCGCAGAGAGCTTTCTGCGGGGATTTCCAGCACTACCTCCCGGTGGTATGTTAGAGGTCTGGTGCTCCAAACAAGGCCTGCATATTTTAGTGGCATCATAATCCTGATGAACAGAAGATGTTTGGAGGTGGACTTTCTCACTTAAAAATGTGTTAAAACTAGGGCTGCAACAACGAATCGATAAAAATCGACTTTTAAAAGCATTGGCAACGAATTTTATTATCGATTAGTTGTGTCGCGCGATTAATGCGTTGTTCGCTGCCACCGTCATCACTGCCACTTGACTGAAACGGGGGAAGAAAAAAAATTACGGCATAGCGTGCCAGCGCCGCAGGTGCACAGTGTTTCCAACTTAGCGACTTTGCCGCTATATTTTGCGACTTTTCAGACCCCTCCAGCGACGATTTTTCAAAAAAGCGACTAGCGACAAATCTGGCGACTTTTAACGGTGTCACTGCCGGCTTTTGGAGACTCTTACGTGAAAGCATGTATTGTTCCTAATCTTGTCCTCCAGCGGCAGCTGCTGCTGTGAGGCGCCTAACCCCTCCCCACCCCGTTCTCCCGCAGGAGTCCCTCTCAGCGCTGCTGTCAGAGCAGCAGGATGTTTACCCTCAGCGTCCAGACTGCAAATGAAGCACGCATGCGCCGGGATTGACGGCGCAAATTGATCACAATAATTAAAATAGCCTTTATAAATAAATTAACTTCAAATTATGAGGGCAAGGCTTTGAAAGTTTAAATCTTCTGGCAAAGATAAAGTAAAGAGGATCCTGTATTTTATGGAAGTAAAGCAGAATAAAATCCAGCAAGATCAGTAATAAGTCAATTAATTATATGCCACATTCCCATGTAAATATCTGTCTTTGAAGGATGTGTTTTTTAGCACCCCTAGTTCTCTCATTTTTATTCCAAATACAATTTATAATTTGAATCACAGGGCTATTTTTATCTCTATGGTTCAGTATTTTCTCAAGTAGCAACTTTAACTGCTATACTTTCCTGTCTTAAAAGGCAGAACTCTTCTAGTCTAAAAAAACTCATTTGTTGAAATGGGGGGGGCCTATTGTTTGAACCCCTTAGGGGCTTTTAAAAACAAAAATGTCTTTTTTTGCGCTTTATGAAACAAAGTAGCCTATATTTTGTGGATGTACAGCTACATTTCTCATGTAAGTTTGCATAGTTTTAACACAAACATTTATTTTTCATACTGCACCAGTACAGTTAATGAGCAACCTGTACTTGTGTGCTTGTTTGTTCTGTCTTAAATGTTTATTTTGGAATAAAGAGGTTAATATAAAAAATATTTTTTGTCCGATTCATCGATTAATCGAAAAAATAATCGGCCGATTAATCGATTTTTAAAATAATCGTTAGTTGCAGCCCTAGTTAAAACTATTTTTCCCCACTCATGAAGTAAATAAAGCCAAGCTGATCTCTAGGTTGAAGCTACAAAACAGAGCAGATAAACAACCAGAACACCGAGCATCCAGACTGTCAAAGCAACTTCATAAGTTTGATTCCAAATCCAGAGTTCGTCAATTAAGCGTTGTTGACGCCCAAAACATGTTCAATGTGAATGCAAATAAGAGTCTTAGGTTTAACTGATCATGTCTATCTGAAAGACTCTTTGATTAAGAAGCAGTGAGACGGGTTAGCTAATAAAAAAAATCTATTACATTTTAGTCATTAGAAATTGTTTTCTTCATAAACCCTCTAACATGGAATTTCTTTTCGAGTACTCATTTTTTATCCTTATCTCTTCAGACAAATCCATACTTTTCCAGAGTTTGCAGCAGCGTGAAGGAACTCGGACGGATTATTAATTCAGCAGCTTTTTCTCCCACAAAGGACTAAAATGACGATGCAACATTTAACTTCACTGCTTATTAAAGCACAGCCAGGTACTGGGTGTGTAAAGGTTTGGATTTGTGGTGGATTTTCTCCTCCTCTGGGTATTACATCTAAGAGCTGAAATATAATGTCTTTGTAACAGGGAGGGGATGTTTAGACAGGATCAGAAGCTTCAGCTGTAACACCATCCTGCACTAAATGAGTTAGCATCCTATACATACAGCATTTAACAGGACTTCCGGGCTCCTCTCCTCTTGCTCTGCAGCAGCTCTAGAGATCGCTCTCTCCGTGTCTTCCTGCAGGTGCTTCAAGTCGTTTGAAGGTGACGGTTGCTCCAGGTACTCTGGATCCTGCTGTGGTACTGAAGCGCAGCAGCAGACAACAGAGATAAGTACAGGAGATTTAGGAGTGTTAAAAAAAAAAAAAAAAAAAGCAAAGACGCAAAAATCCTTCACTCCAATGTATTGTAATTATACTTTAAATCCACTTTCATTAGCCCTACCGGTGTTGTCTGGAGGGCTGGACTCCATACTCATGGGTTGTGGAGAAGAAGAGGAGGTGGAAGTGCTGGATGGCGCCACTGTGGCGGCTGCTGCAGCCAGGGCCAGCTTCTCTTGTTGGGCCTTGCGAGCCTGCATGGCGTCCCATTCTTCCATCTCCTTGTCAAACTGCTCATTATCCTCTTTCACATACTGCTTGAGGTCTGGAGGCAGTTTGTCCATGCCGCTGAGGATCTGGCCAGTCTCTTTATCAAACTCCTCTGCAACAGAGAGGGATAACGATGATCAGGAGAAGTTCTGGAACAATATTCCCACTAAAGCACTGTCAGAACTTGACGATTCAGACCAGCATATGCCTCGACGTATTTGACGTACTCCAGACGACAGTTAAACGTGTTTCTAACTTACAGCTACTGTATAATAGTGTATTGGCAGCATTTTGGTATAAAAGGGAGCTCACAGGAGGAAGCTGTCTGTACTCCTCCAGACTCCATCCCCATCATAGGGTGAGGGAGAAGGTGAGTGTGATGGATCCTCCCTGCGTTCACACCCACGACCAAAAAACTTTCTAGCAGACATGATGCTGAATCTGCTGCAACTGCAAACCTTCTTTTTTATTTCTTCTTTTTTGGGGGGGATTAATACCCAGCTAGGTTAATACCTCAATCAAAGACATCTTTTTATGAAGTTCTGGACTCATTATGAATAACCTACTTATATGACCAACATTGAAAAAATACATAGAAAGTTCAGCACATGTCAGCGCTTCAGGAGATTCTGGGACGTCGGGCATACGCTGTCTAAATCGTCAAGGTGTGACAGGGCCCTAAATTAGTGGTTTCACTCCTTAGTGGTGGGTTCTGAATAGTGTTGCGCCGATGCCATTTTTTGGCCTCGATAACTGGCTGTACAGTATCGGCTGATGCCGGTACCATAATGATTGTTTTTACCACCATTCTGGACGATAAACTCTCCTCTGTTTGCTATTTTCAGTCACTAAATAAACAGAAATATCTCTATATTTAACCAAACTGTTCCCCTTTGACCTTCTACACCATTTGAAGTCAGTAAAGTTTAACAACTTTATATCCTCCCAATTGTACTGAATCTGGTGCTCCGTCTGTGCCAAATTACAAATTTCGGACGTATGCGACCTAGCGGCAAGGCTACGCACAGTCCACGCTCAAGGACAGCGTACCCTTGTTCCCAATGCTACGAGTATAAACCAAGATTAAAACACAGATCACTTAAAGAAGTACAATCCTCTGCTGTTTGCTGGAGAATCCAACTGTGCAGTAAAAACACCTTCAGTTACAGACGATTAGACCACAGACTGGACCTTAGCCTGTTTGTACCTTCTATAAGAAATGGCTTCTTGTCATTAATGTACATGAGACAGTAGGCACTGGCATTGCGGTAGCCTCCAAAGGAGTCCCTGACCAGCTCCTCCCAGGATGACCTAGTGACTGAGATGTCGTTGTACTTCATCCAGCAGCGCTGATGGGGGTCGTAGATGTAAGCCCAGTAGTGGCCTGCATTGGCCTGACCTTCATGGACCAGAACTGCATGAAGCCGGTAAGGAACCTGTGAAAGAACACAGGACCTTAGAAATACAGATAAACAGAACAGGGAGGAGATCATTTTGTCTTCCAATATAATGTGGCTCACCTGCATCATAGATTTGTCTGAGTACATAAGCTCAATAGTTCTGTGGATTCTGGTTATGCTGCCTTGCAGATCTGATGAGAAGAACATCAACAAATTATTTAATTCTAAACTTCACTGTTGAAAAACATAAAGGCTGAAAAACAAACAAAAACATATGCAGTGACCGATCTTGAATACATTCACAGAGTATTTAGAAAGGTTGACTCGGTACTTGAAGAAAAAAAATATAAATTAAACACAATTTGAAATAAGGCTGTAACAACATAACTGACAAAAATTGTGGCAAATTGTCAGAAGGGAACTATGAAGGCAAAAACCTTAACAGAGTGCGAGCGGAGTTAGCTCATCTTAAAACATCTGTGGCGTACACGGGAGTATTTGGAAGATTTTTGTTGCTTCTCACCTTTATAACATTTTATTTGTCAATTACATCATGCTTCCATATGACTGTCAAAACACTGCATAAATGCAGACATTTAAAGCTGCAGTAAGTGTCTAGTAGTTCCCATTGATTTTGAAGTAAAGCGGGGAGAACGGCGCTCGGCTTATCGCACCATGACGTCACTGCTGGAAGATGTCAGGAGTGAGGTTTTACTATATTTGGGCAAAAATGGCCGCTGCCGGACTCAGTGATTGTGACGGAAATTATTATTATTATTGTTTTTGTTTTTTTACTCAACGCTAAATTCATTAAATCAATGCGAACATATTAGTTTTAGGTATAGATGATTATTGCTTGCTGACCGGACTTTTCCTTTAAGTCTTTCTTAGTAACTTTGTGGTGGCGACTCCATGCCACAACCATCACAGCACCAACATAACAAAAACTGCTCTTAAAAAATATACACTTTCAAAAAGGCTTCTTGTCCACTGACATGAATAAGTATGATTTATAGCATTAAACCATATTTAGTCATATCCCTTGATATTTTTCAATCAAAACTGGAGAAAAGAAATAAAAGGAAAAAGAAAAGACATAAAAAAAATATAAATCCTGATGATTCTACAATTTTGGGTATTTAAAACATCTTTCATTCTAATTTATCTTTTAGATGATAAGGCCAAGTTCAATCACAGGCCGTTATCACGATGTTGAGCCCGGTAACAGGAAGCCTACCACGGGTGTCGTTCTCCACTTCACTCCTCCAGCGATGTAAGCAGCCTTCCAGCACCCTCAGCTCTTCTTCAGTGATGTGCCGTGGGGCAGGGTGCATTGGGAGGTCTGGTGGAAGCCGGGACTGGGTGAAGGGCTTATGAACAGGTACTCTCTGCTGCTGAGCTGCAGTGGGAGCTGCAGTGGAAGCAGAAGCAGGACCTGAGCTCTCTGGGGGAGGGAGGGAGTCCGGCTCAACTGAGCTGCTAGGTGGGGGAAAAAAAGAGGGAATTCAGCAAAAGGTCAAAGAGTAATGTAGCTGTAGCAAATGGAGTAATGTAGCTAAGAAAGTTAGCATTGTTTGGACACCATTAAATATAATCAAATATCTAAACTGTAACAGACAAACGTTTAAAAGCGGTTTCAAAGGGGAAATGCAATGTTTCGACCAAACTAACTTAATTCACAAGATTGTGTCTTAGTATTATCAATAATTATATTACAAATGTGAAAAATATAAACGTATAAGAAAAAACGAAGCTCTGTTTTATAACTTTTTTGTAAGGGCTCCACCATGTTGCAGTACCTGAACGGTGACGTCACGGGGTTGATTAACGCTAAAGCTAAGAACTGAATCTACCAGCGATACATCACAAACATAAAACATGTGTTTTTCAAAAGTGTACAAATTGGCTAAAATGACAAAATAATAAAAGGAAGTTGTATTATTTTAGCAGTTTTGTCTGTAAATAAAACAAAGTCAGAAGTTTCCTTTTATTAACCTCTAACCAGGTCTTTTCTGATCGTTGCACCCTGGCATGTGTGATGGTCTCAGTGAAAAGAATTATGAGTAAAGTAAAGATGTAAAGATGTAATAGCCTGAATGAAGTGTTTTTGTTTGTAACCGGGTCTATCTTAATAAACTGCTGATGCCTGGATCACATGGATAATTACAGTGCCCATATTTGCCCCTTTCCTAGACGCCTTAATAATCCTTAAGGCTCTTCAGATAATCTACTGAGAAAATCCTGCTGTGTGTGGTGAGTAAAGAGTGAGCAAGCATGCTTTTAAGGACATTGGAAAAACTGAGACTTTAAGCCGGCATCTTGGCCTTATATCGTACTTTGTGGTGTTATCAGAGTCAGACCAGACCGCAACTACTTGGATGTGACGTGTAGTAAATAAGAAAGTATTTCAAAGGAAAACAAAAATACCCCTTCATAACATAGTGGCGAGTAGAGCCGCTGCTCGCTCTGCCTTTAACCATCGTCTTTACTTATTGTAATGTTTTTATTGTTAAAAATACCCCACAAAGATTAGAAATCAGCTCTTCCTCATTGGTCATGTTTACTTGCTATGGTGAGATTTCCATTCTAAAATCAGACTTTCAGATGGAAAATACATTACAGTGTAGGATCAAACCAGTGTTATCCACCATATTCTGTCCCCATATGTTGGTTACCCTGCTTGGAAAACCAAAGACCTGTGGAACCCTGAAAATTCGGTCCGTTTTTCAATGTGTGTACTTGTGCGTTTTCCATGTGCTCGTGTACTCAAAATACATCATCAGCCTCAGCCCTAGTGCTGTTCCAATTCACAAGAACAAGAAGACCGAGAACGGAAAAAGTCCCTGGATGTCGTTCTTGCCCCTCCCTCTTTACCCAGCATGCATAGGATCAGACTTGTCTTTTCTTGAGATTGACAGCTGTCCCAGCATGCACCACGGCAGCAGCAGCTTCCAGGTTAGCACTTACAGAGCTCAGAGTATTAAGTTAAATGTTCTCTTTTCAGTTGTTCTACAAAAGTAAAGTTTAAGATCATTTTAGGTTAGAACATTATGCACTAAATCAGTAATTGGGCCATATAGTGACGCTTAAAAGTATAATTTAAAAAAAAGTTTCAGATTTTGAGAGGACCTCCAAGGTGTGGGACTAGAATTCAGAATCTCTGGATTCCAAGTGCTGTGGCCTAATTACTAGGCCATACTCCCCTATCTAAATCTGAGTTGTACATCCCTCCACTCCATGAATTATTCTAAATTAAGAATTTTTAAGAAGCAAAACAACAAAAAACAGCATGATGGAAAGGTTTGTAATGCAACTTACCTCTGAGGTGGTAGCTGTTGACCTGTTGTGCCACCAGGGGGGGCCGATGTGTCTATATCCTCCACTGGGGAGGTACACACAGGCTTACTGGAGGCAAACTCCATGGCATACTGGAGGACATCTGCCAGAGGAAACCTCTTGGGGCCTGAACCGTAACTCAAATATCTGAAAGGAAACAGAACAGAAAGCCAAGGTCACCAAGATGGAGGGAAACACCTGGGAGAGGGGAAATAAACAGAGGGGGCAAAATGGCAGACGATGAAAGGTTGCAGGCGGAGGGAAGAAGGTTTCTATGGAAGCTCTGGTGACCTTGGCCAGGATCAACAGTTTTTTGTTGCTTACCTCTCCAGCCGCTGCTGCAACAGCATCAGATGCTCCTTCAGCCGTCTGATCTCCTCCCTCTTAATTCTGGTTATTTCCCTGTTTCTGTCCATGTATCTGAAGGACGCATAGAAAGAGGAAATTATTACCTTTAGACTTCAGCTCAGTTAACACTTTGATAAACTGGTAGTTTTCATCACCTGTCCATGTACAGCATGGAGGGAAACTCTAGCTTATTGTGGATCTTCTCGGGCCGTCCCAGGGCTTGATTGAACTCAAATCTTGACAGTTCAAAGGTCAACACAGGAGGGAGTTCTGTGAACCAGTGCTGGAATAAAATGTGATGTCACTTAGTGAAACGCAAAATAAAAAAAAGCCAGACACATTTTACTCCTACTTCACCAACAGTTTTGGATTATTCTATAAAGATAAAATAAGTGATTGTAACCAACAGATTCCAAAAGAGGAGAATGTGCAGCCAGGACTGCTTTGATTTCTGTCCAGATGGAGCTTGGTTATTTAAGGCTTTATACAAGAGAAGGATGATTTTAAATTCTATTCTGGATTTAACAGGAAGCCAATGAAGAGAAGCTACGATAGGAGAGATATGATCTCTCTATTAAATTTTTATCAAAACTCTGGCTGCAGCATTTTGGATCAGCTGAAGGCTTTTAACTACAGTTTGTGGATCTATTCTCATAGTAAAGAATTACAATAGTCAAGCCTTGAAGTAACACATGCATGGACTAGTCTCTCAGCATCAATCCTGGACAGGATATTTCTGATTTTTGCAATATTCCGCAGATGAAAGAAGGAAATTCTAGAAACCTCTTTATTGGGATTTAAATGACAGGTTCCTGATCAAAAATAACACCAAGATTGTTTACTTTATTAACTCAGATCAATCTAATCCCATCCAAATAAACTTCTTTTTCAAAGACTCTGGTCCAAAAACTATAAATTCTATTTTATCTGCATTCAGGAGTAGAAAGTTAAGAGTCATACAGTTTTTTATGTCTCCAGACATGCCTGTAATCTATGTAATGGGTTAATTTTATCTGGATCTGTAGACAGATATAGCTGGGTATCATCAGCATAACAGTGGAAATTAATCCCAGCTGTCTAATAATTCAACCAATTGGGAGCACATATATAGTAAAGAGAATTGGTCCTAGCATTGATCCCTGTGGTACTCCACAAGTAACCCTGGAGGATGAGGAAGATTTATCATTAACCTTGAAAAAAAAAAAAAAACTGAAATTGGTCAATTTAAACCAGTCTAGTGCTGTTCCTTTAATTCCTACAAAATATTCAAGTCTCTCTAAAAGAAAATTATGATGAACTGCAGGACTGGGATCTAACAGGACAAGTACAGGTACAAGTCCATTATCTGAGGCCATGAGAATATCATTAGTGACTTTCACCAGAGCTGTTTCAGTGCTATGATGAGCTCTAAAGCCAGACCGAAACTCTTCAAAAAGTTCATTATGGTGTAAGTGATCGCGCACTTGTTTGGCAACTACTTTCTCAAGAAAGTTAGATAAGAAAGGAAGACTGGATATAGATCTATAATTGACCAAGTCATCTGGGTCATGGTTTCTTAAGTAAAGGTTTAATTAAAGCAACCTTAAAAGCCTTTGGTACATATCCATGTAACAGGGAGAGATTAATCTAATCTAAAATGGAGGAGGAGATCAAAGGGAAAACCTGCTTAAAGGACCTGGTTGGAACTGGATCTAAAATACAAGTTGAAGGTTTAGATGAAGACAATAGTTTTGCTAACGGATTCCATGGCTAAATCAAACGCTGCCTCACCTTCCAGAGATAAACCAATCATAGTAAGAGGAGTGTTAATGATCTTATTTTTAACAAAATCAATCTTATTTATAAAGAATCCCACAAAATCATTACTGCTAAGACCAGACGGGATGGAAGGTTCAACAGAGCTATGGTTCTAGGTGAGTTTGGCAACTGTATTAAGAGATATGAAGGATTATTCTTATAATCCACTATTAATGAGGAGAACTTTGCTGCTCCTACTTTATGAAGGGTCCTCTTATATAGCAGTAAACTATTTTTCCAGATTGGGTAGGATTTCCATAGGCATGTATAGCGCCACTTTCTCTCCAGTTTTCTAGCATTTTGCTTCAGAGATCGCAGCTCTGCATTAAACCAGAGAGCAAACATTTTGTATTCTAAGGTTTTTTAATTTTAAAAGTAGGCAGTATGCAGAGAACTAGTAACCCCATCAACAAAATCATCAACCGGTGAAGGAGCACAAGCTAAACTTTTGCCGCGTGCAGCAATGCTCAGCGACACAGAGGAAAGAGAAAGTGAAAAAGATTCTTTTTAAAATTTAAAACTGCACTATCTAATAATGATATGCCAAACTGAAACCTTCTTTTGGGGGAGGAGAACCCTCTTACAGTAATCCTGAAAGTTATTAAAAAGTGGTCAGAAAGGACAGGGTTGTGAGGAAATATTGTTATTTCTTCACATTCAATGCCATACGTCATGAGATGAGAACATTGTATATGCTTCTCTGCTCCACATGCATGTTTAATCTATGAAGTGATATTAAAAAAAAAACACTTCCTGGTTAAAGCAAAGTCTGCCTTTTGATCACTGCCCATTTCTGCATCAATCTAAGCTGATTCAAAGGTGAAGGCTTCTAAAGGAAGTACACTGTAAACCCAGATTTTGTTTGTACTCAAAGAGACTGAGTTAATAGTACTTAGAGAGGTCTAATTTACTGACATTACTTGTTTATTTCAATTAAGCTGAACTTTTTTATGTCCTTTTTCAGTGTAATTATATTTTTAAGTACAATCAATGGTTTGGACTTAAACAAACTAAGTTAGTATCACAAAATTATTTATATTAACTATTTTTTCTCAGTAAACGCCACTTTCCAATGATCTAGCTTATTGTAATTATGTATTTGAGCTCAGACAACTCAATATCATTAGTTTGCCTCTCACGTCATCCACCTGCCCGCGAAAAATCCGGTTTAGACCAGTTTTGAGCGAGTGAAATAGAAAAGCTGGCACTGAGGAGCTCCGAAGCATTTTGAGACGAAACAGACGACAACTTATCTTCAACAACTTATAACAAGGAACTCATTCCACAGAGATTTAAAGCACTCGGTGACTGAAGTGAGTTCAGCCACAAAACGGTAAGTTTAATCTCTTGTTTTGCTACTTAGTAAAGGCTACTTAGCTAATGTTAGCTTGTTAGCTATCTTGCTTGGTTAGAA